GTGTAGGTCGCAATTTGTTGTGTGCCTGGGTCACACTTCCCCACCTCTCAGTCTCTCAAATACCCCAACTCATTCCTGTTTTTTTAAGGACAATCCCTGGCAACGCCGCATGTCTTGACTTTTAAATCCAAATGTATTAAATTTCGCCCCCGAAACTGAAAAGAAGAGTCATGGCCATGGCTCTTTACATTGTTGGCTTCCGTGGCAAGAGCGTTGACGATGATGATGGCAATAGTAATGATGTTGGTGGTACAGGTAAAGTGCCATTGGCATTGCCATAAATGTGCCACATATATAGGTACGTCCTGCTGCTGCTTCTCTCTGATGCTTTGGCATCTGGCATGGCAGCAATTATTCAACAAAAGCTACTGACAATTATGGCACACCAGCCATACATACCACCAAAGAATGCCATATCCTTCCGCCGTTATTCAACCACCCCACCCCCCTAGTGCCGGGTGGATTTCAAAAGTTGTAAGTTTATGAAGGTTGCCGAGCGTTAAGGAATGCGACCTTGGTCGAGGGGATATGTTGAGGGGTTATTATACCTTGTAAAGTCAGTGGTTTTCGCAGATTTAGTTTTTAGGTTAGAAGAGGAAAGTATTTTGAAGAGAAATTTGAAAGGGTTTCTAGATTGTAGAAAGTTAAAGACTCCTTGAAATGGTAATGAATGAATTTTCAAATTGGACCAATGGAAAGTCCCTCTAAAAAAAGGTTTAAAAGGAACTTTTTTCATAACCTTTTCATTAACTAAGCACTAACTTTTCAGTTTCTTAAAATCTACAAAATATCCCACAATCATTTAAGATAAGTTGCTCTCTTCAATGGCATTTTATCAGCTGCCTTTTTTCAGAGGATTTCTCAGCCTTCATTAGTTCTTGATCAGTGGACAAAATCATGCCCTCACCATGCGGGCTCTCTCCTAAGATATTTCATTCGATAATTAAGTGTAACATATTTTCCAAACTTCCAAAATGCTGGTAGCCCAAAGATCAAAACTACTTGAACAACCCTCGCAGTAAGAGAAAGAGAGAGAGGGAGAGAGGGGCAGTTGGTGTGAGAAAGAGAGAGAGGGTGCCATATGCAAGCACACACACCTGGCTGTTAGATTTAGATGGTAAGACCAGAGACAGGGAAGGATGTGGAGCCACAGCTGGCATATATATAGCCCCCCCCCCACTAAGCCTTAGCCTCTGGTGGAATAACGCCACTCCCCCTTTAACCCCTTCTGGCCCTTTCCCCTTGGATTGTCTGCGTATGCAAAAATATAATTTAACACACATTTGCGCAATTAGATTCATTCGTGCAGGATGAGTGGTGAGGCGGTGGAGAAAGGGTCCTGGGAAACGAGAAGGAGTCGACTGACATACAAATGAATATCTATGAGTGTGGCTCGGGATATGTGTGTTACAGCAGAGGGCAAGAAAGTAGGGCAACTATATAAAAAGGTTTAAAAATGGGAAATATCTACTTAAAGGCAATAAATTGTATCTCAGAAATGCTTTAAAACTTAACTTAAGCTTAGATCATATTTAGATACTTTCTAAATTACATCTCTTAGTAACTCACCTGAGAGTGTATGCGAAAACCTACAGGAGTGCGAGTATGTGCCATTGCATGTGTGTAAATGTCACAATTTGAATACATAAAATGCAAATAACGACACCGACAGGACCCAGGCAAGGAGTTCTGGTCTACCTTCCCACTCATTCACCGCAGCTCCTTTGCAGATTCCTTGGAATATAAATTGCTTCCAATGCAGAGACATCTATTAAAAGGACATAAAAAAGCATAAAAGCGGAAATGATGTATGGTAAAAGGAGGTGGCTCCCCTTTTCTTTGGGCCAATTTAGCGAAAATGAAAGTGGAATTTGTAACCAAAAAAAAGATCCGCAACCGACCTGTTGCCCCACATATTTTTGGCAGTGCTAATTTAAGCAATGCAGGTAAAGTCACCTCCTTACCTTGCCTTTCCCTTTCCCTTTACCCCTGCAAAAATAATAAAATTTACACACTTGCAAATGCTGGTTGCTAGTCCCCAGGATTTCCCTTCTTCTGCATGAAATATGCTCGGCCAGAAAATGCTTACAAGTGTAAACCACAGCCTGGGCACATGTAGACCTGTCAAGGTTTTCCTGTGGAAAACTGGGCGCTCTCTGTGCTCCTCTGTAATTGTTTTTTTTATAAAATTTAATTTATGGCATTTTTGCACAGCCTGGCCGTGGGCGTGGCGGGTTTTGGTTGAAAATTGAGGTGTGTGAGTTGCGCTTTGCACTGCACTTGAAACTTTTCCAGAACATTTTTTTCAACAGTGCTAGTGCGCACGTGTGTGTGTGTGTGTGTTTGGTATTAAAATTTATTTGTATGACATTTTCTATATGCCAGAAGGGGGGGTATGAGAGAGAAGGATGCCTAGATAGGCATACCAAAAGAGCAAGCGAGAAAAGTGTGACAAATTTAACGCCCTGCACATCAAAACTAAAAGCTGGCTAACAAAAAAATTGACTGTTACTAAGGGGGGAGGGGGAAAAAGGTGAGCTGCGAGAGGGAAAAATGGAAAAAGAGACAGGCTTAACTACGGTCACAGGGAAGCTTTACTCTCGAATTACAATTGACATGATTTTAATGGCATTTCGCATTGAATTGTTCAAATTGGAGAGCGGACTTAATGGATTTAAAGCTGTGCACATATTTATTTTGGGGTAAAAAATTGCGTATTTTACGATATGTGGGGGGTCCCATCCTCACCAAAGGAAAGTTAAATAATAAAAATTGAAATAAAAGTGGTTTTTAGGCAGTTTTTAGAGTTTTTAAATGAGATTTTAAAGGAGAGATAACAAACTTATTTAAGATAAAAAACTTCTTCATCTTCCAGAAAAAACCCACCAAACCTTAAGCATAAATATTAATAATTTAAACATTAAAATCTTCTTCATAATAAGGGATTAATATTACAAGATTGCACGTAATTAAGGGCCAGCTAGCTGCAGGATTTTTAATTTCATTTTTTCTCCCTCAATTTCTCCCCCCCCTCCCCCTTTATTTCTCCCTCCTTTCCGTACACCCAACTTAACCTAGACCAGGCCATCATTTGTTGTGGTCGGTAGAGCAACAATAAAAAAAAAGTAGAAAGAAATAAATGAAATCTAATTGCCCTGTCCTAGGCCCCCAACCAGTTTTTCTTTTTTTCCTGCCTTTTTCCGGAATATTTTAATTAATTTCCCTTAGAGTCCCCCACCACCACCATCCCAACCATTTGTTTTTCGCCAGCTTCCCAGGGCAGAGGAAAATTTGATTTCTAATTGCTCTGTCGCCTGTGTGTGTGTTCCAGTCAAGAAGGCAAAAACCCCAGCAGGAAGGGGCAAAAGAAAAAAAAAGTTCTTTCATGTTATTTATTCACTTTGATTATGGCAGAAAAATGTTGACGGCATGCCATGGCTGGGTTGCCATTTCAATTGTTTCCATGGCAGATGCCGAGAGAGGCAACCCTTTCGCCTGCCAACCCTGTACCCAAAGTCACAACACAAAATTATTGATTAAATATACAAAATTAAAGTTAAATTTCTATTTATTAGCTTTATAAAATGTAAAACTAACTTATTTTTCAAAAAAATATGTAAAATCGGGAAGTTTCCCCTTTTCTAAAACTATTTCTTTCAGTGTACTTTTCTGACAATAAGTTGAGCTGAAATAAAGCAGAAAGGGAAAATTATTGGGACACACGCACCTCGAGGGGCAGAAATCAAAGTCAGTTGCTACAGCCCGGAAGGCACCTTTAATGCTCAGGTTAAGTCAATCTCCACTTTCCCCGCTCGTTTTTACCAACCAATACTCCACCCACTGCCACCCCAGCAACATCCATCCTTGCTGCATATTTGTGGTTGCAAAACGGCTGCCTTGCTTTCAAACTGGGTCTGGGTAAACTATTTCAGCTCAAACGAGCATAAAACTGAAACTCGCCCGGAAAGTGTGTCAAAAATTGAAGAAGCAAAAGTAAAAAAAAAACCCAAACACTTGACGAAAGAACATGAAATCTTAAGATACTTTTCTTGCGGACGATGTACTCAGATGGAAATATAAAATGGCAAGTGAAAATAAAACTCAAAGCGATGACTCAGCGGTTTATAGCCAACAACTGTGATCTTCTTTTGGTTAACAGTTTTGTGAGGTTTTAAAGGGATGGCCTTAAAACTTAGGAAGAGACTTTAAGTAGAAAGTTTCTTCTTAAATATAAAAGGAAGATTTGCAGTACCAAAATATCAATATTTCCCAATTTCCTTCAAGCTTAAACTTAACCATTTTATAAGCCGCAAACCTTCTACTTAATATCTAACACATTGCCAATGCCATTCGTAATGTCAAAGTCAAAATTATGGATAGTTCAAAAGGCAAACCTTACATGGGCCACCCTGCATAATATTAGGTTGTCAAAAAAGTCTTGCGGTATTTTTGCTAGTTGGCGTTGAAAGCGCGTAGTTCTTGTTCTATTCGTCGCATCAGGTCATACTGTACCTTTTTGGAAAGCTTATTTCACGCGCTAACAGGTGCTTGATTGTCTTTTCTGTCTTTTCTTTTAAGTCGTTCCTGAGTTAAAGCGCCGCTATCATGGAGCAAAATAAAGAGAAAATACGGCATATTTTACAGTACTACAACGATAAAGGCAAAAATGCATCTCAAGCCGCCAATAAAATTTGTGGAGTTTATGGACCCGATACAGTTTCCATTTCCACCGCACAACGATGGTATCAACGTTTTCGTTCTGGAGTAAAGGTGGTCGAAGATTCGCCACGCTCCGAGTTTTTTGCCAATAAGGAAGCGAGCTTCTATGAGAGGGGCATTATGAAGTTGGCAACTCGTTGGGAACGCGTCATCGAACCAAACGGCGCATATTTGAATTGAATCGCATTATTGTAACCAATTTTATACCGCAAGACTTTTTTTGACAACCTAATATTACATAAAAATATGCCTTTAAATCAAAACTTTAGTTTTCTTATTATCAGTTGCATTTTTTTTTCACCAAACCAATCTCATCTTGCCTACCTCAACATCATCATGTCACCCATAAAGCTAACAGCCATATCTTTGGTCATCAGCAACGAAACTGCGTTACCTTTAACATCCAAGCCATATAAAGTGTTTTCACCAATAAAAACAAACCCGAACCCAAACAAGGCCTTAATGACCTGGACGTTAAGATAGCTCCCACATAAAAGAGAACGATATGAAAACAAAAACTTGCAACAGATGAAATTGCCAATAAATATGAAAGAATTTCGAAAACATGTGCGCAATCTGAAGGGGGGAAGAAAATGCCAGAGGAAAAACAACAAAAATGCCGACATTGACACCGAAAAATTGTTTAGCGGAAAGTAAGTCACAGGGAAAAGCCCCCAAAAACCAAGGAATATAGGAAAAAAACACCGAAGAATGGCAAAGGAAAACTGCGAAAAAACATGGAGAAGAAGCGTCGGCTTTAATTTTATTTTTATTTACCTAAAAAGCTTCTAAAAATATAACAAAACGAAGTCCGCTAATGATTAGCCATCAATTAATTAAAATTTATTTTAGTTTAAGCCATCAAAAAACAAAACAAAAAAAAAGGCACACAAATTGGAGTTCCAAAAAATGTGTCACCCACGCACCAAGAGAAATGGGAGAGGAAGAAAGTTAGGGACAGAGATAGAGAGAGAGAGTGCGAGAAAATTTCCCCCGAATGACCCAGTGAGGAAAATGAGAGCGAAAACCCCAAAGAGCTGAGAGAGAAAGTGGTGAGTTTTGAAGTCTGCAAAGTGGCCAAGAAAATTCACCACAAGTAACAGCTGTCGTTGTTCTCTCGAAAACAGAAACACACAGCCACACACAAACACACAGCCACACACAAACACACACACACACACAGATGCTTTGGAAAAATAAGGAAAAACATTGAAAGGACTGCCACAGTTTTGCTCGCTCTCCTTGCAACATATCATGCAGTGCATTGCATTGTCTCGACTGACTTCACTTTTGAGGGTTTCCTTCGATGCCTGAAAACGGTTTTCGTATTTCCAATATATCCAACAGTCTTCCCCCTTTGTCTTAGTTCCAATTTAATGAGTTTTCCTTCTTTCGGTGTGAAGTCCTGCGGCGCTCCTCCAGTCAAATTCCTGCTGCGCCTAATGGCATTATGGTAGCTGTCATACTCGCACCTTTCATTTCAAACTCCAGCCAAACCGAACTGAAATCGCCTCGATTCGAGTCACACTTCACGGCTGCTGGACAGGACATGCACTGGAAGAAACAAGGTTAGGTTATTAACTTTGAGTTTGTTTAATGAAAAGGAAGCAGGGATTTATTAGTTTCTAAATCTAAATCTGTAGTTCCTAGTCTTTTCTCTCTGTGCACGACCGAAGGACTCACACAGAGGACAGCAAGGAGTCCAACAATGCCAGAGTGCCGTCTTGATTGACAGTTAAATGTCAAGCTAAACAGTGTGAAATCTCTAGGATTGAGGACAAAGGCAGCACTGATTGCTAGGCGCATTGCCAAATGCCTTCGTATTGTTTTCCCACACCACCCTCCCCCCCTACCCCTACCCACTAGCTCATAGCCTTTTGTTTCGATCGCAATTTTCACCAACGAAGCTGGAAAAAAGAAATCAACCAAAAAGGTGCAGTTGCCTATACTATATAACCATATAGCCCTGCCATAAAAAAGAAACCAACTGGCCAACAAGCAAAGTTAGATTGAATCGTTAGGAAATTGACACTTTCACTTCGTACCAATCGAGGGGTGCAAGTTCTGGAAATTTATGAAATTTGAGAAGCCTCCTCTCACTCTTATGAAGAAAACGCCACCCGAGAAGTGTTCCCTTCGACAACGAAAATTGCTGCTTGATTTGTGGAGCAGGATAACGAGGGTTTCAGCGGGGAAATGTAAAATTGAAATTAGGGAGGGGAATGCTTTGACAGCGGGCACAGACCAAAAGTCAGACTTAAAAAAGAAAAACTCCAGGGAACGCGAAGCGGAAATGAGAAGATTATAGAGGTCTGCAGAGGTTGTTGAATTTCACTTTCAATTGTTTAAAAAAGCGATCCAAGGGAGTCTTTAAGGATATTAGAAATCTAACAGTATGGAATTTGTCATTGGATCTGGATTTATAGGTTTTTGGGAAGATTTCAGACGAGGTCTTAAGGTATTATCTATGAGAGACTTTGCTTTGATGGTTAAGTTAAGATTTAAAGGAAGATTAAAGAAGTTGATAAGTTTCTTAATATTATTATTCCTAAACTAGCAGCTTAACTATCATGTATGTGTCCTTTAACTTTAACATGAACTTTACTTAAACCTTTACCTTACTTTAAACCTTATCCCGCCCATTTATCTTGACCTTCCAGCCAAACCATTGCACTTTTCTCCCAGGCCTAGAACATCTTTTTTATCCCCACCGATCGCTGAAGTTGTTTTCCCACCATTAATCTAAGATATGGGTTAATCCAACTTCCGTTTTGGAATGCAAAAACGAAACATTGCTAATCCTAAAGTTCTCGACTGCATCTCGAGAGTTAACCATCTCATCTTCATCAGCTTAGCTTGCCATTTCTTTTTGTCCCTGCAAATCCACAAGCCACTTTGTTGGGTAAACAGAGGCAAATTCTCAACACTTTTATCTGAGATTGAAGGGGACATAAACATCCTTTTGAGAAGCTGGCCCATTCACGTACGTATCTCTTGGAATCGCCGTCATCTCGATGGAGATATTATCAAATTCCATATTCCCACCCCGCCTACACCGCCCACGAAGTAAGCTAGAACTCAATGCAAAATCCAATAGTCATGCACACATACAATCCGCAATTGAAGAAGATTGAGCAGATTGAGGAATTGAAAGGAGAAAGGAGAATGGAGACTCCAAGGTAAACACTTGCGGATGCTCGGGATTAGTTGTGGTGCTCGAATGGTGGTCCTCACTTCGCCAGTGTCCTTCGGTATTTGCTTTAAAAGGGACATTTTACAGCCATTGGCAATTCATCTTGTCCTTTCTTGTCCTCAAGAAAGGAAATAAAAAATTTGTTTGTCAGCTTGCCATAGCGCTGATTCCCAAATGTCTTTATGAGCCTTGTGCATTGTCCTTTTTTCCTTTTACTTTTCTTTTATTTTTCCCATTGGAGCGGAAGCAGGAAGTACTAACATATAGGTAAATGTCAAGTCAGCCCAGTTTCTGGCTGCATTTTTCTCTTTCTTTGATTGTTTACATTTTGGCGTATTTTGACAACTAAATTGGTGGCCAAAGGACTTCATCTTATTTTCCCCACCCAAGTAGAGCCACCCAGCCTCTCGTTCGTTCTCTTTGCTTCCTATAAATTAAATGTCAACCGCCACCCGCTTTTCCGATTTTCCGATTTTGGTCACATGTTCGATTTCCGGCTGCCACCTTTTCATAACCCACAGAACTGTGGCCAGGAGACTACTTTTATGTGAACCGAACCGACCGACTTGAGTTTGAGGCGAACTGAGGCGCACTGGATGTGGACCGTCTCGAAGGTCGACCGGGCAATTACTTGGCTAAAATGCTCTGAGACCCAAACTGCTGCAATTCTAGCAACCAGCAACCAGCATCGCATTTCCTTCACGCTTTTCCTACAATTTTGATTCGTCCTTGGCTTGTGCAATTTTCTTTTGGTCACAACTGTCATTATGGACTTTGGTCAGGGCGGCTACATACAAGATTTGTTGCAATTTATTTGCCAAGGTGCCTGGGGAGATGAAACCGCAGCCTCCTTCTGGGCTCTCGGCATGTGGAAAGATAAAAATTCGGTTTCTTGAGGAATTTTTGTATATTAAATATTATTTATCTCAGTTTTGTTGTTTTTACTGAGTTCTGAGAAGCTTTTCGATGGAGTTTCTTTTTGATTAAAAGGTTTAAATTTGATTAGTTTAAAAAAGAGAGTTAGTAGGTTAAATTGAATTAGTTGGGGTTTGGCTGTGTGTGGTTTAAGATAGCTTGGCCACTTCTTAGTTTGGCAATTTACAGCTTCAGATTATTGTCTTTCAGTTTAATATTTCAATCTAAATTAACTTAAGCTTTCTTTTACTCAAAATCCTTATCGGAATGTTCTTCTTTATATAACAAAATAAAAATAATTTAATAAAGAACTTAAGCTGTTTTCTTACTGATTCCGAGATGACAATCAAATCGCTTTGCCTGAAATCTTTTTACTGAAAAGAAAAAAACGAAAAAACCTTGACAGCTACAACTTGATTTGTGTCAGCTCAATGTCTTTATATATTCCATTAGATACATTTTTTTTAGAAGTGTATTTAGAGATTAGAGTATCCTACACCCCCCCATTTACTCCACCCACTTACGCCCCCCCCAAATGACAGACACTTTTTATGCTGTCGGTTACGGATACCCGGACTACTAGTTGGACAGATAGCCTAGGAAAATTTTTAGCTTTAGTTTGCTGCTAATGAGCAATTCATGTCAATTGCTAATTAGTGCGCTGAAGATTTCTATCCGCCTGTCTGAGCTGCCTCACTGACTGACTTATCCAGCTCTAAGGCTATCTCAGGCTATCTCAGCTATCTGAGCTGTGCGGCCATTTTTATGGCCCAAAGAAGCTTCGAGACACAATGGCCAAGAAATTAGCAAACCCATGGCAAGATAAGTCAATTAGGTTTGGCTTTATAGCTGCTGCTAGTGAAAACAAAAGGAGCAGAAAATGGCAGGCGAAGGCCGGCCCAAGTCGAAGGAAAAACCAAATCAAATAAAATGAGGCCAAAATAAAGGCAACAATTAATAAACGCAAACAGAGTGAAAGAGAAACGACAAACGAGGACGAGCCAAAAGCTGGCTGGGAAAGGATGGTGGAATCGGTGATTCCAATGTTTGGTGTGGCGGGTGTGGGTAGGTATCAGTAGGATAGCACAGACAGTGGGTGGTTGGCTGTTTGCCTGTGACGTGTATGGGCAATTTAAGCTGGCATTGGACAAGCAACTGACAGTAGCGAGCCGAGTGCGAGATGCTCTTGTTACCGAGTCCTGTGGCCCCAAGAGACGCAATTGTTACATTTAATTGTGATTTTTGTGGGGGGTACAACACCCCTCCCACCCACTCCCACTCTCATGGGGATACAGTGAAAATAAATCATTTTCATATGCTGATTCTACGTTTTCCCTTTTTATGACTCAAAATTTCTCAGTTTTTAAGGCATTTTTTCCGGGAAGCATGGGAAGCATGCAGACATGCCTTATAAACTTCATAGAAAAGAATTAAAACTTTCTTTCAGTGCACCCGTAAAGCTGCTTGGGTGCCATAAAATATGCAACCTTTCTTACTAGCTCTATCCATCCTGCCTCTCTCTGAGTGAAAGTAATCCGAAATGCTGTCATTAGGCCGAGTCCCCAGCACAGAGCCACAATTAAGATTGACTTGGAAGCCGTCCAGACGTCAGGCTAATACCATGGCAAGGACACATTCACTACTATAACCAGCAAACCAATCCAATCTTCACTCCGAGAGTTATGGCTTTGTCGAAAAGTGGACTCCGATTCAGCGCTCTCTGAGCTTGTCCCTCCCCTCCCAGCCGCTGGTTTTATCTCGTGGGTCATTTCTCATAATTTTCCACAGCTCGAGAATTATTGCAAAAGTTAATATTAATGACGTTGATGAAAATCTTGTCATTCGTGTTACCAAAAAAAAAGAAAGCGAAAAGAGACCTTCGTTATGGGGCACATAAATAAAGGAGCTGCGACCAGGAGGACCACGGACAAAAGCCAGAAGCGTTCACCAAATTGATAACCACCGAAAAAAAGAATAAGAGACCGTAGAAGAAATATTCCTCCTTGGTTGCATGTGCCACCATACAAAGGAAAGCGGGCCACAAAAACCTCGTCCTTGCCGCCATTTACATTTGAAAGAGCCTGCGAAGGCCTGAAGGTGAGGAAAATAAAGGGTACACTGAAAGGAAAATTCCCTAAAAAAAAGAAGAAAGCTTTGAAAAGAGCAAAGAAACTTGCCATAGAAAAAAGAATATATTCTATATTTTTTTAGAATTTTTTTTAGCTTTCAAAAAGTGCAAAAAGTTAATCCTAAAACTAGAAACTTTCTCTCCGTGCAGGAGGCTTATTAGACTTGGCTGCTGTTCTTGGCTGCTGCCTCTGCTGCTGGTGATATAATTTTAATAACTTACATAATATATTCTTTTGTGTGGCCAAGCCACATAATTGTTAGAAACATTAGGCAAATCATTAGCCCAACACGAAAAGTGGGCGCTGGCGGAGGGGCGTTCTGTTAGCTGACGCAATTTGGCTGAAATGTTTTTGTGTGTTTGCTTTTAGTGGCGACAAAAATATCTTTACCCACATCATATACCCAGGGATATGGGAAAACTTTCAAAGCCAACACAACTAAGGAAAATTATCCCCCCCGATAAAGTGTCCTGGGCAGCTGCTTTTTTCTTGGAAATTAGTCATGAAAGACGTTGAGTTTATCAAGGTTATCAGGCGGTGTGTAAACGCTTTTGAATTTCTTGCCAGTGATCCATCAATATTTTTCTCTTAACAAAAAAACAAAATTAAACCATCAAAATAGGGCAAGGATAGAGGTTAAGAAAATGTGGAACAATAAGGGTTATATCTTTTAAATAACCCTTGAAAGTTGTGATTGATGTTTTGATTTACTTTTGGGAATTATTTCTTGATGCTTAATGGGAGATCAGTTAAGATTTTTATTACCAAAAATTGATCAAAAAGATAGCTTAAGTTGTTAAGTAAACTTTAAAGTAACAAATAGTAGTAAAAACAAAGATAGTAAGTTCTTAAAGATTTCTTAAAAAGCTAAAGATTTCATTATTTTTTGATATTTTGATACATAATCTATACTAAAAACCTGCACTAGCCATCCTGCTGAAGTCCAACCCTAACCTTTGGCAACTTTTTGAATTTCAAACCAAAGAATCCCCCACAAATCCCCACAAAAATAGCGCCCAACCAAGCCCCATAATCATTATCATTAACCTGATGGGGAAGACAGTTTTTTGTGCTGTTTTCCTCGGCGGAAAAAGAAGTCATGAAACCACAGGAATTGCTACATGAGGCGCAAACAAAACAGTTTAATTAAAATTATTATTGTAATTTAATGGAATGTGAGGAATTATTATTTTTATATGGTCCCAGAGAACGAACACAAACCAGGAGCAAAAACAAGCCAAAGGACCTTCACACACACACATGCACATGGCATATAAAAATAAATTACGTTTGTATGAAGATTGGCGCTGGCCCATGCACATCATATATTTTCATTATCAAAACAGAGACAGAGCCGAAGTCGCCGGTTGGCAGCAGGGGGTAAGGGGATATATCTCCGAATCGGCGGCGGCAAAAAAAAATAAAGGATATACGAAAAAATAGAAAAAAAAACCTAAAGAAAAATACGAACGAACGCCAGCTGTTTGATGCGATTAGAATGGAGAGAATGAAAAACAACATTTTCCAGCATCCGTTTACAGGGCAGAGCGAATTTCCCTTTAGTCATGCTAAAAGTCATGCTCTCTGTCTCTCTGAGAACTTCCCGCCTTTGCAGAGCCTTTCGGCATTTGCCATCTCTCCTCTTCGTTCGTTTTCACAGCTCAGCTCGGCTAGACTTCGGCTTTTTGGTTTTTCGGGATTTCGAGCTCGTGTACGACTCTCTATTTAAAAGAGAAGTTGCGCACGTTGCGGCAGTCAGTCGAAAATCAGCCAACGTGCGCGTTACATTACGAAACGGAAAATAACGACGCTGCACCATACTCGAGTTTGCCACAAACACACAGACGCAGACACACTCGTACACACACACACACTGGCCCATGGAAAAGTGGGTTCAATCGAAAATAAAACAACAAGAAAAGAAGAAGTGATAATAGAATTCGCGCCCGCAGCTAAATTGAAATTAATCAAAGGTTCCTACAAGACGCGACGTGTAATAAAAAGTAAAACCTTCGGAAAGCTAAAATATTTGAAAATTGGAAAAATATATATAAAAAAAAAATATATAGAGAGAAAAACCCAAGGAAAAAAACACCGCAAAGTGCTAGAAAATGTGCCGGGTGTAAGAGAGTTTCGAAAGAAAACACGAAGAGCATAATTAACTGAAGAATCGGGGGGGATATATATAAAAAAAAAAGAAAAGAAAATCTGGCTTGAAGTAGAGGGAGCACAAAAGCCGAAAATATGTGCGCAGACTTTCCTTTGGCCAGCCATTGGAATTGATTTTCTTTTTCGTTTCTTTCCCCAAAACAAAAAAAAAAAAAATAAACCCCCGGTGTGATAACTATCCCTCCACCTCCTCCTCCACCCCTCAATCTTTTTCTGGTGCCTCCACGAGAACAAAAATAAAACGCCAAAATGATCTACTACTATATGCTTGTACTTCTGCTGCCCGTTGTCCTGGCCCAGGATCAGCAACAACATACCACAGAATCCCTGTCGACAAAGCACCAGAAACAGCAGCTATCCCATTCGAATGCGATAATGGGTGAGGCCGGTGTCTCCAACTCACAGCTGATGCAGCCCTCGAGTCCGGCGAGAACTCTGCGTCCTTTGACCGCAGGCGGTGATGGTGACCCATCGCTGTACGATGCACCCGATGATTGCCATTTTATGCCAGCCGCTGGCCTGGATCAGCCAGAGATTGCCTTAACCTGCAACCTGAGAACCGTGAACAGTGAATTCGACACTACGAACTTTAGTGTTATTCCTGCCGAGCACACGGTCGCCCTGCACATTTTGTGCAATGATGAAATCATGGCCAAAAGTCGCTTGGAGGCTCAATCCTTTGCCCATTTGGCCAGGCTCCAGCAACTGTCCATACAATATTGCAAACTGGGACGATTGGGTCGTCAGGTTTTGGATGGTCTGGAGCAGCTGAGGAATCTGACTTTGAGGACCCACAACATCCTGTGGCCTGCCTTGAATTTTGAAATAGAAGCAGATGCCTTCTCGGTTACCCGCAGACTGGAGCGACTGGACTTGAGTTCGAATAACATCTGGTCTCTGCCCGATAATATATTCTGCACTCTGTCAGAGCTGTCTGCCCTGAATATGAGTGAGAATCGCCTGCAGGATGTCAACGAGCTGGGCTTCCGGGATCGAAGCAAGGAGCCAGGAGTCAGTGGTTCTACCGAATCTACTTCCACAACCGAAACGGCCAAGAAAACCAGCAGTTCCAGCAGCACTAGCAGCTGTTCCCTGGATTTGGAATATCTGGATGTGAGCCACAATGATTTTGTGGTCCTGCCAGCCAATGGTTTTGGCACTCTAAGGAGGCTGCGAGTCCTGTCGGTGAACAACAATGGCATCTCCATGATTGCTGACAAGGCTCTCAGTGGTCTAAAGAACCTGCAGGTTCTCAATCTGAGTTCCAATAAAATTGTTGCCCTGCCCACAGAGCTGTTTGCCGAGCAAGCCAAGGTTATCCAAGAGGTTTATCTGCAAAATAACTCCATAAGTGTCCTGAATCCTCAACTCTTTTCGAATCTGGATCAGCTACAGGCTCTGGATCTGTCCATGAACCAAATAACCTCCACCTGGATCGATAAGAACACCTTTGTGGGTCTGATTCGTTTGGTCCTCCTAAATTTGTCACACAACAAGTTGACCAAATTGGAACCAGAAATCTTCAGCGATTTGTATACCCTGCAGATTCTGAATCTGCGTCATAATCAGCTGGAGAATATAGCAGCCGATACTTTTGCGCCAATGAATAATCTTCATACGTTGCTGCTGTCCCACAACAAACTGAAGTATCTGGATGCATATGCTCTGAATGGATTGTATGTCCTGTCGCTACTTTCGCTGGACAATAATGCCTTGATTGGCGTACATCCGGATGCCTTCCGTAACTGCAGTGCCCTGCATGACCTTAATTTGAATGGTAATCAGTTGAAGACGATTCCGTTGGCCCTGAGGAATATGCGTCATCTGAGGACGGTGGATTTGGGCGAGAATATGATTACCATGATGGAGGATAGTGCATTCAAGGGTCTGGGAAATCTTTATGGTCTTCGTTTGATTGGCAACTATCTGGAGAATATTACGATGCATACTTTTAGGGATCTGCCTAGTTTGCAAATTCTGAATTTGGCCAGAAATCGCATTGCAGTTGTAGAACCAGGAGCCTTCGAGATGACCTCTAGCATCCAAGCTGTTCGTTTGGATGGCAATGAGTTGAGTGACATCAATGGACTTTTTAGCAATATGCCCTCACTTCTATGGCTGAATATCTCCGATAATCGTCTGGAATCCTTTGATTATGGTCATGTTCCATCTACTCTGCAATGGCTGGATCTGCACAAGAATCGTTTGGGTTCTTTGTCGAATAGATTTGGCTTGGATGCTGAGCTGAGACTGCAAACTCTGGATGTGAGCTTCAACCAACTTCAGCGCATTGGACCAAATTCCATACCAAACTCCATAGAGCTGTTGTTCCTGAATGATAACCTGATAACCACCGTGGATCCAGATACTTTTATGCATAAAACCAATTTGACGAGAGTGGATCTCTATGCCAATCAAATAACTACACTGGATATCAAGTCCTTGAGGATTCTGCCTGTTTGGGAACATCGGGCATTGCCAGAGTTTTATATCGGTGGAAATCCCTTTACCTGCGACTGCAACATCGATTGGCTGCAAAAGATTAACCACATAACATCTAGGCAATATCCCAGGATTATGGATCTGGAGACCATATACTGCAAGTTGCTGAACAACAGGGAGAGGGCCTACATTCCTTTGATCGAAGCTGAGCCCAAGCACTTTCTGTGCACCTATAAAACCCATTGTTTTGCCGTTTGTCATTGCTGTGAGTTCGATGCCTGTGACTGTGAGATGACCTGCCCCACGAACTGCACCTGTTTCCATGACCAAACCTGGTCCACCAATATTGTCGAGTGCTCGGGAGCTGCTTATTCGGAGATGCCGCGACGTGTACCCATGGACACCACTGAGTTGTATATCGATGGGAATAACTTTGTAGAGCTGGCAGGACATTCGTTCTTGGGTCGCAAGAATCTGGCTGTTTTGTATGCCAACAACTCGAATGTGGCCCATATATATAATACCACGTTTAGTGGCCTGAAACGCCTGTTGATACTGCACCTGGAGGATAATCATATAATCAGTTTGGAGGGCAACGAATTCCATAACCTAGAGAATCTACGAGAGCTCTATCTGCAATCCAATAGGATAGCCAGCATAGCCAATGGAAGTTTTCAAATGCTGAGAAAGTTGGAAGTCCTGCGACTGGATGGCAATCGTTTGATGCACTTTGAGGTATGGCAGCTGAGTGCTAATCCCTATCTGGTGGAAATCAGTTTGGCTGACAACCAATGGAGCTGTGAGTGTGGTTACTTGGCAAGGTTCAGGAACTACCTGGGTCAAAGTTCAGAGAAGATTATCGATGCATCACGTGTTAGCTGTATCTACAATAATGCCACTAGTGTTTTGAGAGAGAAAAATGGTACTAAATGTACTTTACGTGATGGCGTGGCCCACTATATGCACACCAATGAGATCGAGGGACTGCTTCCTTTGCTCCTGGTTGCCACCTGTGCCTTTATCGCCTTCTTTGGCCTGATTTTCGGTCTCTTCTGCTATCGTCATGAGCTGAAAATGTGGGCTCATTCCACCAATTGCCTGATGAACTTCTGCTACAAGTCACCGCGTTTTGTGGACCAACTGGACAAGGAGCGACCCAACGATGCCTATTTCGCTTATAGCCTGCAAGATGAGCACTTTGTCAACCAAATTCTGGCCCAAACTCTAGAGAATGACATTGGCTATAGACTGTGCCTGCACTATAGGGATGTGAACATCAATGCCTATATCACAGATGCCCTGATAGAGGCCGCCGAAAGTGCCAAACAGTTTGTGTTGGTGCTGTCCAAGAATTTCCTGTACAACGAATGGAGTCGCTTCGAGTACAAGAGTGCCCTGCACGAGCTGGTGAAGCGTAGGAAACGGGTGGTGTTCATCCTGTATGGAGATCTGCCTCAACGTGATATCGACATGGATATGCGGCATTATCTGAGGACGAGCACCTGCATCGAATGGGATGACAAGAAGTTCTGGCAAAAGCTGCGACTGGCATTGCCCCTGCCAAATGGTCGGGGTAATAACAATAAGCGTGTGGTATCCGGTTGTCTATCGGCCCGTACACCATCGGTGAATATGTACGCCACGAGTCATGAGTATCAGGCTGGGAATGGTGGGGTTATACCGCCACCCAGTGCCCATTATGCCGACTGTGGCAGCAACAATTATGCCACAATCAACGAATGTGGTGCCACTGGCGGTGGTGGGCGAGGATATAAACCCATACCGACTTCAGCATCAGCGGCAGCTGCAGCTTGTAAATTCAACACCATGAATCAGTTGTCCAAGAAACAGCAACGTGATCTCAGTGGCATTGGAATGGCCAAGACTTTGGAGCACCAGCATCATCATCATAACCATCAGGCCAATCGTAGGAGTCAACATGAGTACGCTGTCCCCACTTATTTGGCAAGTGCTCCGGCCTACGACAGTGTGGATTATGCCAAGCAGCAAATTCGGAATAATGCCAACTGCGAGTGCGTTAATCTGGGCACTGGTAAGAGGACTCAAGTTAAGAATCCCGTCTCGGGTTTGCCCTCTAGCTTCAGTTCGAACTTTGTGCCGCCACCCGGAGGTGCCTCGTATAATTGCAAAAAGTCTTGCAATTGCATTGGCGATGAGGATTTGCTATGCAGCTGCGGTGGAGGCGGTGGTGTCAATCTACTGGAAAGTGGCACCCAGAGCAGTGTTACCATGAGCAGCAGCAGCAATAATAGCCGCCAGCCAGAACTCACCCATTATGAGTCAAATTTGAGCCTGAATGATGACGATGAGGATGAGGATCAGGATCAGCAGAAGAACTTGTGGGCGTAACGGGGTTAAGTTTTTTGGGGGGGGGAAGCAAAAAACAACAACAACAGCAGGAGACAAACTGCGTAACCAGTGAATTTATAAAAACTTAAAGAAAACTCTAAAACTAAAACTTAAACTTAAACTATAAATTTAAAAAGGAAAGAAAAATATAAGAAAAGTGGCAGACAGTTAGCATACTTTTTGGGATGGTTCAAACAGACTGATACTTTTAGTTCTTTAAATAAATTAAAACTTATAATACCCTGTAAATAGAGCCAGGAATTAAAATGAGATTTCAATAATTTAACAACCATTGTAAAAAAAATGACACACAAAAAACGGTTTTTATCTAAGGGCCTGTACATAATTATAAATATAATAAAAATATTTAATTTATTTAATATTACATAGCTAACAAGAATATAAGAAAAAAAACAATGTTGAATAAAAATAAACTTATGAGAAACAAAAAAGAAAACTATGAAAAGAATTCCAATCATTTTCCACTTTCCCCTAGACTGTCCCCACACCAACACCAACATCATCATCATCATCATCAGATAGCCAGGAAAATTAATTAGCATGTAAGGAAATTGTACGATAAACATCAAACAATGCCATTGGTAAATATGCAAAAGGCTAGCAAGGATACAGAGCAGAAATTCGCACTCACAGAAAGCGTGAAAAATGCAGCAAACAATAAAAAGTCGTAATAATAACAGCGATGAAAACTCACACAAACACACACACACACACAGAGAAAATATATACGCGTAATAATAATATTAATAGCTGACACTCAACGAATTGAAAATAAAATTATAGTAAATCATAACCCCCCCTCTCTCACTCCCTCTCTCTCTGTCACACACACCCCCACACTTTTGCAATTATACAAATATATATATATATATATATTCAGCCCTGGAAATGCGATAATGATGAGCTGCCGTTGATAACAATTAAGCTCCCAAACGAAAACCGATCGGAAAATATGAATAAAAACGCATTGCAGTTTCGGGCTTAATGGTCTCACATTTTTATACCCGTTACTCGTAGAGTAAAAGGGTATACTAGATTCGTTGAAAAGTATGTAACAGATAGAAGGAAGCTTTTGCGACCCTATAAAGTATATATATTCTTGATCAGGATCAATAGCGAAGTCGATTGAGCCATGTCCGTCTGTCCGTCCGTCCGTCCGTCCGTCCGTCCGTCCGTCCGTCCGTCCGTCCGTCCGTATGAACGCTGAGATCTCAGGAACTATAGCAGATACAAAGCTGAGATTAAGCATGAAGATTCTTGAGGTCCCGGGACAGCGCAAGTTTATTACAGCATCCTGCCACGCCCACTCTAACGCCCACAAATCGCAAAAAACTAAAATTGCTGAAATCTCAGGAACTATTGCAGATAGAAAATTGAAATTCAGAGAGTATAATCTTTAGATGACAGCGCATCTTATAGTGCTGCTACTATCCGGCCACACCCACCCATACGCCCACAAGGCTCAAAAGACGGTTTTCGGATTTTCTAGAAAAGCTGATATCTCGGTAACTATAAGAGATAGAAAGTTCGGATCCAGCATGTAGGTTTCTATGATGCTCCCAATGGGAATTGTTTTTTTCCGATCACGCCACGCCCACTCTAACGCCCACAAAACCCGAAAAACCAAAAATGCAAATATCTCGAAAACTATAAAAGCTACACAATTTTGCTTAGGAACACGTATTTAGGAGATGCCTCTGGAACTTGCCACGAAGTTGCATCTGGCCACGCCCACTCTAACGCCCACAAACCGCGGAAAACTGTGGAGTCTATAATATTATTATGAATGCCTTCGTTTGACCTTGTGTAACTTATTTCTGTTAATATCTATCGATTTACAAAAGATTTTTCAAATCGGAACATTATTTCGCTATTTATAAAGAAATTAAGTTATAAGGCCTCACATGGGCAGTGACGTCACTATAAGCATACTCAACATACTTTCTCTGACAATAGGTGGCGCCTTGTGAATTTCCACTAGCAAAATTAATATTTTAAAATTGTGTAAAACAGTAACGGGTATCTTATAGTCGCGGCACTCGACTATAGCGTTTCCTCTTGTTTCATTTTCATTCTTTATTTTTATTTTTCATTTTTATTTTCATTTAAATAACAGCAGTAACATTCGGCATAAAAAGTCGGCCTGGCTAGGCGATTTATAGGACTCTGTCTGTAAAGCAATTATAATGCCCAACCGACTTTTACATTATTTCCTTTTTGAATTAAACATTTTTTCACTTTTCTCCCTTTGATTAATAATGAAATTTTCACATTTTTTACTAAATGTAAATATTTGTTTTTAACTTATGGCCTTACAAAAAAGTCATGTTCATCATGTTCTTAATAAATTAATATGCATTCCTCTTGGCTTTTAGTCAAAAAACAGTTTCTTTTTGATATTTTCATAAACTTTTTTTTAGACTTACCAGCACTCCTTGTTTCCTTCCTCGATAACCACTCAATGGTAATTCCCTAAGTATATTTACCATTTATGCATTTTAAATTTTTCATTTGATTATTTTCCGCGACGTCCCCCCCTTCAACCAATTGGTTAAGGAAACTGCACAGAAAATGGGGAATAAAACAAAGCAAACAATCAATGGAGCATACTTTCAGGCTGACTCCCCAACATGTTGTTCGCTGCTCATACAAAGCATTTAATGAAATTATTTAATGGCATGCCATTAAAATAACAAAAGAGCAAATAAGCCGAACAGCAGCGTATTGACTGAACAGGCAGACCGATTATTATTTTACATTTAATATAGATTTTTTTTTTTTAAAACAGCAAAAAAAACAACAACAAATAATACCTACATGAATAAATAATATTTTCGCATGTCTGCCTGCGAAATGTACATATATAAATATTTAAAAAAAAAAATTTATACAAAAAAACAGAAGTTTCATGAACTAAATAAGAGAAAGAAAAAAACCAAAATTGATCCCAGATGAATTTATTAAAAAAAAAAACATTAACTATAAAAATCAGCAAACAGCAAAGCAAATGGCCTACAACAATTGAGAAACTACTAATAAATAACCACTAAGCAGGTTAAATATTAACTGAAAAAACAAAAAACTAAACAAACCAAAAAGTTTTCGTTAAGTTTAAGTTTTGTACAGAAACCATCGAAAGAGTCCCAAAAAAGCAAAAAAATGAAAAAGTTACTCGCAAAAGTTTTAGCTAAAATTTAATAAGCAAGAACAACCAACATGGTAATAAATTGCCATTTAAAATAAAATTTCACTTAAAACCAATTAAGCCCAATTTTAAAACTCCACTTTATAGAATTCACAAATATTACATTTTAAAGTTTTGAACATTCACATTTACTCTAATTTTTTAACACATTTCATTCCCAAAATCAATCACTCACTCACAAAAAAGCCAAGCAAACAACGATGTTAGACCAGCAGAGAAAGTGACAGCATACAGCATAAATATGAATAAAATACTTTATAAGATTTTTGTGTTCCTAAATGCCACACTTATGCAAATTAATGTCGATTTCTATGTATACATTAATATTATATATATTATATAAATACGAAATATTAAATCAAGGCGGAAAAACTAAACGAAAATGTATTTCTGTTTTTGAGAAATTTTTTGTTTGAAACGAACATGGCCCATTATTTAGTATGTAAGTGGAAATTTATTTTAAATAATCGCAAAACTAACTGAAGAAGCGAACGAACGAGAGACGAGAAATAGACTTAATGAAGTCGAAAAAAAGAAACAAAACAATATGGAAGTCAAGCAACAATAATAAACAAATTTATTTCAAAAATTGAAAACCTCAAAAGGCTTTTTACTTGGCAAGGTGGAAAGGTGGGTGGTTATATGGATTTATTGCAGGAATATGGTAAAGGAAAAGACAAAATCATAAACTTTAAAAAGTTAAACCAACTAACACTAAAGAGTCTCTGTTTTTGATTTGCCAACCATTAAATGAAATGAAATCAAATCTTTTGTTTGCGTTAATTCCCATTATTGATCAGGCATCTATATATATAGAGGAGATATAGATGAGATGGTCATCATTGGTATAATAATAATAATAAGCCCCGACTGAATCCGTATACAAATGAAGTCTGCTATCTGTCTGCGAGTCGCTTTGTGTCTGTGCGTGTGTGGCGAGTGCGTTTGAATGCACTTTGAGTGCATTTCGCGTGCCACTTGATGCAACCGCAAGCAATTCATATTCATATGAAAAGTGCTCAGCAAACGCACACAAAAACTGAAAGAAAATTTGAATGATTTTAATTCGGATTTTGAAAACTATTTGGTTTTTGTAACTTTATATTTTATTTTTAATCAAAAAGTTTACTTAAGTTCATGATTTTAGGCAGAATAAGGTATATTCTTTAAGACTTTTATCTTTTAGGAAACCAAAAAACATTTTCGTTGACATTTTGGCCCGTGTACCACCTACACGCATTACGCAATGTTATTCCCATTTCCTCTTCCCCAGCAAGCACTCGGCTCCCTGTTCCTGTTTATCCTTCCTGTCCTCCTGTCGAGGTGTTGGCACGCACTTTTCCATTGAGTGGATGTGGAAGTGGAAGTGGAAGAGTGGATGTGGAAAAGTGAATGTAGAAGTGGCTGGGGCTGTGGAAAAGGGAGACCGGATAAGAGTGGGCCACCTGACCACACCCATTTTGGCCGCACTTCTCGCAACAGGATAACATGAACTATGCATGCAGCTCAGTGCAGGATTAAGAGACACACACACTCATACACAAAATTTAATTTCATATAATTGCTTTTTCCAAAGTCCATTTAAATTATAATGCCTGCAAAGAGGCGGCGTATGAGATGCTATAAAAGTGGGTGTGGCACAGCAGCAGCATTGATGCATATTTATGGCATACGCAGACAGTTGTCGATGAATTGGTATTCCTTTGATTTGTTGTTCCTGCATTCCTCCAATGCATTCGCTTTTGGCATTTGCAGTTGCAATTAGACAGAATTTTCCATCATCGGTAATAATTTACAGTCAGTTTTTTTTCCCAGTTTGTCTGTGTTTGTGTTGGCGTTACTTCAGTTTATTAATGCAATGCAATTAGTGAAAAATTTGTCAGTTAATGGCAGCGAACAGCGAACAGGCAACCAAATAAATAAAATCTCCACCCGTTGAGTGTCCCAATTTTAATGGATTTTAGCAATAAATAATAACAAACACAGACACACCCGCAATGGGACCAGCACAGACACGAATAATAGATAGCGAATAAATTAATGCAATTCCTATGGCAAAAGCTCATTAATAAATTGCCAAAAAATTAAAAGGTTTTTATTTTGATCAACATAGAAATACTAAATTAAGCAAAATATTTGGTTGACACAAATTAAGTCAAACAAAAGTGGGTCTCTTTAGGCAAATAAACAGAACAATTG